CCCAAACATATGTTCCTCTCCAAGGACCAGTACTACCTCCTTGCAACATGCCCAAAAGCATGTCAGACAAAGCTTCAGAATCCTTGACTCCAAGGAACATTCCGGCTTCACCCTCTCCAGGACAAATTTGTTTGTTCTCCTAGCAGTCTGTGGTATATCCAACACTCTTCCCCAATACCACAGCTCAAAAGCATCAAATTCTCTATCATCCCTGGTCACTGTCCAGCTCTCTGATGCATAGCACGTAATTGTGAAGACTACAGCCCGGATCAGGTGCACCTTAGTCTCCAGCCTGATGTTGTTGCTCTTCAGTACTCCGGAGAGGTCCCTGACAGCTGACTTTCCCAATGCAATTCGTCTCCTGATTTCCTGGCTGCCAGTACCAAGAGTGCTGACTGTGGAGCCAAGCAAACTAAAACTGTTAACTATCTCAATCTCTTCACCCTCCATAGTGATGCTGCCAATTGGTCCAGTGGTGAGAATCTTTTCTTGATGTTGAGCTTCAATCCGTATTGAAGAATGCAGTCGTTGATGCTCTGCAGCAGGTGCTTCAGGTCCTCCTCAGTTTCAGCAAGCAGGGTTGTGTCATTTGCATAACGCAGGTTGTTGATGACTCTTCCACAATCCTGATGCCACATTCCTCCTCGACCAGCCAGCTATCATATAAATATGTGAGGCTATATTTTAACTTTTTTTCATGGGTTCTTGTGTCCTTGGTCTCACTTCTACACAATCTCAAGCGAACTGCATCCAAAAGGACACCCAAGTTGGATATGGGTTGAATTATAGCCTACAAAAGATACTCTGAAGTTACACCCTTCTTAGAAATGTAACTGCATTTGGAAATGATCTTTGAAGGTGGAATCAAGTTAAAATCAGGTCACCGTAGATTAGAGTGGGCCCTAATTCAGTATGAATGTTATCTTTACAAAAATAGACCAGGAGACAGAGGAACAGAGATTGGAGTGATGCAAACACCAATCAAAGAAGAGAGCCAAAGACAAAGTACTCTTCAGAGTGAGTGGCCCTGTTCACACCTTGATTCTGGACTCCTGGCCTCCAGAACAGTAAGAGAAATAATGTCTATTGTTTCAAGTCACCGAGCTGAAGTTCTTTTGTTACAGGAGCCCTAAGACACTCCCACTCCCACCCTTGAATGATGTTAAGAGTCTGAATCCTCCCACTCACAATTTACTCAAAAGACCTAGTCTTTCATGGCTTTATTTCCCCAGCTCCAGTTAAAATAGAGCCTCTCAAGAAGCTCTGGTGACCTAATAGGTAAGGAGTTGCACTGCCAACTCAAAGGCAAGTGGTTCAAATCTACCAGCTGCTCAGAGGGAGAAAGATGAGTCATCTCTTTTTTTGGTACAATTTACAGCCTCTGAAAACCTGCTGGAGACTCAGCTATGAGAGGGTTCTCCTAGTCAGAGTTGCCCCTAGGGAGGAAGAGGGGAAATCTCCTGTGGAATTTATAGCCTCTGAAAAGATGCTCAGCTAGTTGGTTCTGACTGGCCAGCAATGAGTGGGCGACTATGTTCACATAGATGGTTTCTCTCTCTAATGCCACAGTGCCCTTTCCACAAATACTTTTTAATAAGAGATTCCAGCTCATTTCCTCAATGGCTTGTATTCATAACTTATTTAGAAAGTATATGAGGTGGTTTTCCCCTGGACTGTCTGTCTCTCTCCAGACCAAGGAATCCTGCCCCGGGCTCCCTTAATAAAGCTTTTTTGAGCTTTAAAAAAAAAAAAGAAAGTGTATGAGCCACTCTCATGTAAATGCATTCTACGCCAGCCATTCATTGCTAAGAGCACACTCTTTCTGCCTTCTACAAATCCTACTTCCCCTCTACTTGTTTTTCAAGTGACCTCTTTTCCAGCTTTCAAATTCCCTTCTCAAAACTCTTGTCCTTGATGATTTGTCCACCTTAATACTCATCATTTTGACAGACTGGCTACAGGTAGGGAGTCCTTGGTGATGCATGTAGTTAAGAGCTTAATTGCTAACAAAAAGGTTAGTGGTTTGAGTCCATAAAAAGGTGCCTTAGAAGGAAGGCCTGGCAGTGTACTTCTGAAATATCAGCTGTTACCCAGATGTATGTGGTGTGGCTGTACTCTTGTGTTTATATTTGAAATGTCCCTCCAGAGATGGGGCAGCTCGTATTATACACACAGGAGCTACCATGGTGACACAACAGATACAGGGTAAAGAGACATAGAAAGGCTTATTATTATTCTTCTATTCAATAAAGACATTTGAATGTCACAAGAACATCAATACAGTGGATTCGAAGTGAAGCAGACCTCAAGTCAATAGAGCTTAACCCCTGTGTTGTACCACCATGCATATTAAAATTCGCAAGGGAAACAAGATATAAAGCAATCACGAGAAATTCCATGTAAGAAAAACTGAATTTACACCATTTATTTATGGGGTACTCATGTGTACAAAGGAGCCCTGGGGCAGCAAATGCCTAAGGCTGAAAAAGTTGGAGGTTCAAATCCACACGGGAGAAAAGTCTGGTGAAATGCTTATAAAGACTACAGCTAAGAACACCCTATGGAGCTCCTTAGAAGGTAGTTAGGGACTGATTAACTTCAGAATTTGAGAACTCCTACATTACTAGACTAGTCGAGACCAGTAAATGCACCCCTTGAGAGCTCTGATAACTGTGACTACATAGTGGAGTGGAAAAGAATATTCTAAACCAGCAGTTAAGAAAGCTACCATTGATTACCACTGACTATTTGATTATCTTCCCCAAGCCTCTGGCAAATCAAGTTTCAGGACAAGAACAATGTTCTTGACCAGAAAATAGATTTCCAATGTTCATGATTAGAGGACATATTTCATGATTAGGTTAGGAGATATAGTTAATGGTTCACAACCAGCATGGGTTTGCTTTTTTTTTTTTCTAAATGAACCAAAACAGAAGGTATTCTGACCTACATATTGCCTATAGGAAAAAAAAATACTGTTTTGTGAAGTACTTATTTCATTTATATAGACATGGATGCACAAGTGTACACTTGGCCAAGATGTAAAATGTATTTTCTAACTTAGATCAGAGTCAAAAGAGTGAGAAAATCTACACAGCCTGGGGCCAGAGAGAAGAGCTGAATCCTGAGTCATTCCTGCTCCTGAACTGTGTAATAAGTTACTGTGTGTAATAAGTTACATCCCTAATAAACCTGCAGGGTGAGGGAGATAAGGATTTTAAAAGCACAGGGTAATAGGATTTCTAAAGTTTCTTCAAGTTCTAAGACTCCCCTTTAACCTTTACATTTTGACCTCTGTTTCAAGTGGATAAATCAACATGGATATCTGAAGTCTGACACAAAATTAAGTAAGAGCTGGCAAAATGTGGATAAGCCATTCAGCAACTCAGAAGCTTACACTATTTAAAACAATGTCATATAAAATGAAGAATGACAAGTCTCCAGGAAATAATCACACCTCACATGCGTGGTAACACAGACACACCCACATATTTGGGGCAAGGGTTAGCTTATATCTCAAAGGCTTTCATTTCAATACAGACACCCACATACAAGAACAATGTTCTATGGAAATTTTCACACGTAACCTACTCAAGGTAGGATTTTAAAACACTGAATGCCTATCCTTATTTTTCACAGCAGATGTTCACTATCTTGATTGCACATGTCATACAGTTCTGAAATCGTTTATTCGAACAAGTGGATTTTTTTTTTACTACTTGTGGATTCTGACTCAACAATCTGCATATGATATTTCTCATCTGCCTAAACCATTTTCCAAATGTACTCCAAATGAGGGCATGGATAGGCAACTTTATGTTAATACTAAGTATTTTCCTGTTGGACAAGTCATTTTCCCAGGCACACAAGGGGTAATTAATGCATATTATCTGTGAGCACGGAGGGAGACAAAAATCATTAATGCTGGTGAATGGTATAAACCAAGTGAATTCATAGCAGATCAAAACTATCAAAGTTCCCACAGAGCAACAGTGCTCATTGTACTTACTCTGGAAACACTTTCATCAGAAGAAGTCAAGTCACCTATTTATAAGGTGACTTGACCTTTGAGACAAGACCTGAGATACTGTCACCATCACTGCTATGGAGTGTGAAAGACACATATAACTGGAATACTAAGGTGACTGGACTGGCCCAACTTCCCAAACTTTTGCCCAAGTTGGGAGTAAAATGTAAGTTTTTGTTTGTTTGTTTGTTTGATTGATTGATCATGTCTAACTCCCTCACCAAACCATGCCCTGTGCCTGCCATACAAAAAGGCTTTCCATAATTATTTACGACTCCTTCTGTGAACACTAAGTCAAGGTCACGAGACTCCTCAAATCCTGTAAAATTCAAACTCTCTCTGGGCTGCTGCTGAGGTTCCATAGAAGGTGCCAGGCCAGCAGCCACCAGCAAACTTCCTGTTCATACAGTGCCAGCGGCTCTGCCCCACCAGGAAGGCACACTCCTCCACCAGGCGACCTCCAGCTGCCCTCGAAGCTGCCAAAGGTTTTGTCCCACAGGGCACTCTACAGCCAGAAAGCCCTTTTAGAGGTCATTCTGTCTCACCTCCTCATTTGACTGGCAAGGGAAGAGGTCTGGGGACACATGTGCCTTGCCCAAGGTCACTTAAGCCTGTGGCTGCCAGCTCAGACAAACTCAACACAAACCAAGTTTCTTTCTGCCTGGTACCTAAGCACCACCACTCTGCCAGCTAACCTAACCTCAGCCACAAAAGATCCAGGCGGCAGGAGCCCCCACACATGCCAATGTGGGCATCCTCGAGGCTGAGCGCTCCCATACCCTCAGGACGGGTGGGATCTATGGAGGGAATGGGGAAAGGGCAGGTATGGAGAAGATATAAGCAATGCCACTGCGGCTGGGGGGCCGGAGGCGGGGCTCTTCTCTAGGTAAGTACCCCCAGGGGCCTCCAGGAGACCCGCACCCCCGCCTCCCGCTCCGCTGCAGGCTAGGCCTGGCGACCCCGCCGAGCTCACCGGGTTCGCAGCGCCTGCCACGCGGCGTCGATGTCGGCGTAGAGGTTCTTCTCGGAGGGTTTTCCCGAGCTGACGCCGTAGCCGGAGTAGTCGTAGGAGAAGATGTTGCAGTTGATGCGCGAGCCCAGGCCGATGTAGAAGCTGCACATCTGGCCCAGGTCCACCGCGTTGCCGTGCGAGAAGAGCAGCGTGTAGCGGCTGGAGGGCGCGCAGCGCACGAACATGCAGCCGAGCCGGTTGTCCCGCGCGGTGCGCGAGAAGAAGACCTCGACGGCGTCCAGCTCGCGCTGCGAGTACTGCCAGTCGGCGCGCTCGCTGAGGTGCAGGCTGCACGCGCCAGGCCCCG